AAAGAAAAATTCAGGAAGCATGCTACTGCTGTAAAATGCAAAAAGAAAAAAAATGGCGAAGCAACGAGAGAAAAGGGAACAGTATAAAGCTTCAAGTCACAATATTTCCAAAACTATTATTTAGCAATATTCATTATCTTTAGGTATCAGTACTATCATTGTTATTGTTCATTACATAGCCTTTACATTAAAATTTTTGAGGTATATCAGAATTTTCATTGTCAACACATGCCTGCCAGATTGTACCGCTAGCTGAAGGACACGTGATTCGTGGAAAATCAACTGGGACTTTGATGAGATTGGCAAGATGCTTATGAATGTGATTAAAGGAATGGTTTGGCAAAAATTCTTATATATACAGTTTTACTTACCCCAGATAGTAGTTGATCAAATGCTGTCCAAATGCTGCTTCTTTGTCTTAGTGCTGGAGGCTACCATTGCTAACAAACACTACAAGTGAATAGACACCCAAATCTTTTCTTCAAAGTCACGCAGACTTGTCAATGCCCAGTATGAACTATGAAAATGAACAAAACTTCACAGTGTAGCTGAAAACAGGTGTTGTGCCAGAATCCTGCTACCCTTGGTGTGTTGTATGTTTGTGATTTCTGTTTTTTTCTATTTATAAGTAACTATTAATATTACATTTTTTGAACTGAAGATATATGCTTGTAATTAGAAACAACAGAAGCTGCAAACAAACTCTAGCATCCATATGCTTGCATGATGTGCATGCAGCGAAGCAAAGTCAGATTCTGTTGGAGAGTCAGAATTTGGCACAACACTGTGAAGTTTCGTCCATTTTTCTAGTTCACAGTAAGTCATGCTGCATCCTACTACACTAACAAGTCTGCTCAACCTTAACAAAGACCTGGATGTGGTTTGAGCGGGCTGAGGGAAGTTCTGGAAATGTATTTACAGAAAAGATTTGACTATTGACTTCTAGTGATTAGCAACATTAGCCTTATAGCTCAAGTTCTAAACTAAAGAAGCAACAATTAAACACCAAACCTGTCTTGGCTGATCGACTATGTCTGATGTAAGTGGAAAACTGTGCGAATTTGAATTTTCAGTGAGGCATGTGACACTTTTGTTGATGTGAAACATTTTATATGGAAATGACACATTCAATGTGTTACATTTTGAGTGGACACACTCTGGTTTCTTCCTACACACACATACACACTCCGTTAATACTGTAAGTCACACAAAAATATCTCTGTTAGGAGTGTGTATGTGTGTGTGTGTATGTGTGGAGCCAGATGTGTTTGGAGCAAGAAGTGATCCAAGCACTATTGAGATGGTAAAAAAGAGCATACGTATAAATAAATCCATAAATATGAAAATAAATAAATAAATAAATAAATAAATAGAAAATTAACTTTAAATAACATTTCGTACAAAAACAAAGTGCTTACTTCTCAGAATGGACAGGCCCCATAGCTATCATCCCTACTACAAACCTCACTTCCAGAATAGTTGGGACAGTAGGTGAAATGCTAAGAAAAACAAGAAGCAGTGATTTGTAAATCCACTTTAACATATATTTAGTCATTTAATGTTTTACTCTATCAGCTACATTGTTTTTTGTGATTATGCGCTCATTCTGAAATTGATCCCTGCAATACATTCCAAAATAGATAGGGGCAATTTAAGACTAGAAACAAATTGAAAAGGTGATACAGTCATGCTTGGGTATAAAAGAGGCATCCAGGAAAGGCCTAGTACTGAGCAAGGATGGGTCGATGGGTCTAGCTATGCTGCCTTCTAGATGACGTCGTTTTTCAGGGACGTCCATGCTTATTTCAACATGTCAGCGCCAAAACACATTCGGCAAGTGTTACAACAGCATGGCTTCATAATCAGATAGTACAGGTGCTAGAATGGCCTGCCTGAAGTCCCATTGAAAAAGTGTGGGGCAATATGAAGCATAAAATATCACAACAAAGACCCCGTATGGTTGGGCAGCTGAAACCTTGTATAAAAGGGGAATAGCAAAAAAATCCACTTTCAAAGCCGGATCAATTGGTGTCTTTGCCCCCAAATGATTATTAAGTGCTGTTAAATGGAAAGGTGATGTAACACAGTGGTAAACATGCTCCTGTTTTTTGGAATGTGTTGCAGGCATCAAATAAAATTTGTAAGGTAAAACATCAAATATTGTGTTCAAATAGAATTTACACATTGCTGCATTCTGTTTTTATAAGCATTTCACATACAGTCCCACTTTTTTGGAATTGGTTTGTACTAGCATATGAGAATTATGCTATTATGAGTTTAGAAATGTGTGTGTGTGTGGGTGTGTGTTTGTATGTCCAGAGCAATCCCACCCGTGGTTGAAGGAAAAAGGCACTCAACATGTACTGCATAGGAGCCACCTCCTTCACCGTGGCATAATGCAGTCTGACTGCTCTGTATGTGTGTGGATCTGTCTGAGTGCATTTGTATGAAGAATCACATCGTCGCTACATTAATATCACATTGGTATAAGAGTGTATGTATGTGTGTGTGTGTGTGTGTGTGTGTGTGTGTGTATCAAGCAACACATGGAGATGAATAGAGGGGGATGGAGGGTATGATTTGGTAGAACTGGCAGGCTGAAGTATCTTTGGTATCAGTGGCTGTGTCACATGTGCCACTATTATTCTGTGAGGTAGCCGCACTGGTTCTCACTACAAACGATGTGTGTATGCGTGTTCAGATTTTTTTTTTCACATTTTTGCTTCACATTTGACTCTGAAACAACATTGTTTAAGAACCTTGCTTTAAAAAAAACACCTCTAAACCTCTCTGGCTCTCGGTCACTGATAAATGTTGCGTATGACCTTTTGCTCACTTTGCGTCCCTGTTTGATGCTACAAATGTACATTTGGCCTTTCTCCACGCCAGCACTCTCTGTCCAGCTGAAGTTCCATCTTACGCTGATGATGGCCAGCTGTTCTCCAGCATCCTGCTTGATAACATCAACTGGTAGGGCTTTGCGTGCAGCTTTGATTGACAACCATTTTTTTACACCAACAGAATCCCCCCAAACTCAGACCAGGACCATGACATCATCGGTGATGATTCTAAATCTGAGCCACATCCAAAACACGTCCAGTTCAGAGGTCAGAGAGGTTGAAGTTCAGAGGTTGCTCCAGCTAGGAGTCCATCACAAACATCGTCCTATTCCAGTATACACAACGACCCTTTTTTCTCACCGCGGTTGTAAAGCCACTTTTGCTTCGTCTTCTTCGCAACTTCGGTAACAAGGTGCTTCTTTACTTGTAGTTTATGCACAACAGAGCACAAAGAGTTACATTTAATAGAAACTTTGTGTCTATGGTACTAATTACCCGCATCGTTATTATAGAGGAAAAAGACAGAAAGAAGGAGATAGGTGGGGTAAAAAGGGGTCGGAAAGGGCCAGGAAGGGAGAGGAAGAAAGACAGAAGGAAGAGAAGAATATTTACATTTCATTTGCAGTAACTTTTGATGTGTTTTTGGAGCTTTTGTAACCTTGTGGAGTTATTTCGACACATTTGATGTCAGGAATGAGTGGATTTCACCCAGCGTTAGGTCGGTTTTGCATGATTTGTCGGTTAAATCTGGTACGGACCCCCGTACCTTACAGAATGGAGGGAGGGAAGAGAGGGATTTGGAGAGTGTTGTGGCTCGGAGCCACGCCATCCTCCATGATTATCATTAAGGCATCTGTCATTGGCACTCAATCATACAGTGACATTTTACCTTTTACATTTGGCCACTAGACACTGCCTTCCTCCACATACAGGAGAAAGCAAGCAGCAGCTGTACTCTACCCTACTCCCTTTGAGTAATGATTGTTTCTTCTTTTTTATCTTTGGTAAATTAAAATACCTTTGGATATAAACATCAAACCTCATGCAAAAAAACAATAACAAAATCAAAAGGTTAGCATTTCAGGTTAATCAACGGATGGCATGGCACTCATAATTTTGCTTGGCCCCCTAAACACTCATGAAATGAGGAGATTGCAATGGTTCCGTAACATAAAATTCAGAGGTCAAGGCTGTAGTTTGTCCAGTGGGTGGCACCATTGCTCTGTGCATGAGGAGCGCTCTGGTCTGCCCCCGTGGGCTAAAATGATTCTGCGGGGGCCAACACAGAGGACTGATTGATTCTTCCCATCCCTTTCTCATTGTGCTGAAGCAAGAGCACGGAGCCACGCTGGCAGTGAAAGAAAAAAATGAGACACGATCAAGAAAAATCGGGACAGAAAACGTGGCCCGAGAATTTGGACGTCTGGTGCGTCTGAGGCATATGATTGTGACGCACAAACCAAATTCTCACAACCAGTCACCATGACTATTATCAAAGATCAAACTTGAAGGGGTGAAAGAAAGGAAAAGCTGATCGAAACATATGATTATGCAAATTGTGATGAGCTGAGCGGGTTTAGCAGTGAAACATCAGCACAAAACCTTCTGTTTTTGCCTCACTGATTACATAGAACAATAGGGGCATGTGCTGGGACGCTTATTGCCATCTCTTCCTTATTCATTCCTAAGACAAAGGTCCTGGAACACAAGTTCAACATAAAGACTGGCTCTAAGAACGAAGGGCAATGACGACCTGAAGGCTAAAGGCTTAAATATCAAGCCTATCAAACTTCAGACCAGGCCTTAGGCCTTCTTTGGGTAAATGACAAATAAATGAAGGATGCCATATTGAAAATAAAACCTCTGTTGGCTGCATTCTAAAGCAAACTTCAGAACCAACCAAACTAATAAATACATAAACCACAGGCTAAAAGACCAGAGCATGCCCTTGGACCCCCTTATCATTGGTCGTAGAGCAGCTTGTGTCCGAATGGGGCTCTTGAGGGGCATCCGGTATTGGCCATGCCCCAGCCGAGCGGGTTGAGGTTTCTCGAGCTTCGATGGACACCAGAGATGAACGTGTTGCTGCTGCTGCCACAGCTGGTCTTGACACACTTGGGTCAGGGCTCCAACCAGTGGCGGCTGCAGGGGGCCAGGTGCTCAGGCCTTGGAGAATGTGGTGGCGGAGGTGCCTGGTTGGCCCGGGCTGGCATTGGGGTCCTCGTGCCAGCGGTCCACGCAACGACGGCGGGCGTTCATGAAGAAGTTGCTGACAGTGGAGAGCTCCAGGCCCAGCTGCTGCGAGATGGTGATCTGCATCTCCTTGCTCGGCCGCTTGTTCTCCTTAAAGATGGCGATGAGCGTGCGCCGCTGCAGGTCGGTGAAGACTAGCCGCTGCTTCTTGGGCGCCAGGTTGCGGTCCTTGTGCTGCTCCTGCTCCTTTCTCTTACAAGCTGCACGGCCAGTAGAGACAAAAAGAAAGAGAGAGTCAGATAGACTCAGTCAAAATGAATGATACATATGATACATATAGCACATTTTCCACTCATGGTGCTGGGCGTAGCATAAACAAAGACAAAAGAGAAAACTGAAATACTAATCAAGAAACTATAGAGTGAAGGCTTATAGGATCGGAAGTAGAATTGGCCAAATAAGATGGTAAATGAAGGAAAAATAAAATGTACACAACTTTGGCCTTAATCTAAATCACCACACATTTGCCTCACACTGCATTGTGTTGGGTACTTTCAAACAGACTTGCTAGTGTGTATATACCTCTAAGGACACTGATGTCCCGTATACCCACCTAAACATGGCCAGAGATATGTTTATGACTGTGTATTTTGCGTTTGGCTTTGATTTGACTGTTAGCATGGAGATCAAATACTTCACATTTGTCAAATCACGATTCACATCCTTTATGTGTTGCAATGTTTTCTACTGTTCTTTTTTATTGCCGTTTTATTACCTACAGATCCTCTACAGAGAACTAAAAACTTAAATGTGATATATTTTTGTGAATAATTTATATTTATTTGCTTAACATTTGTTTAACATACCAGATATAAAATAAAATAAGACATAAAACATAAAATGTGCCATAACTTTTGCTCAGACCATGTTTGACTTTTTTTTTCAATATGTTAAAATCAGCAGACGTGTGTTCTCTGTAGAGAAAGTATTAACTTATTTTCACTTAGAAAACCAACAAAACATGTCATCTGATCAGGAGTGCATAAAACTTTGCATACCACTGTACTGTAGTGTATTGTATTTTAGGTTATTTAGTTATAAAGTATGTGAGGCAATGGTATGTGCTCCATCTGTGGACAGGTACACACATATTGGGGTACAGTATACCCATCTCTTCAGAGATTCAGACTTCCAGTTAGTTGTTACTACTGTTTTTAGCTGTGCAGCATACTTTGCTTTTTTCTTGATAGCAGTATGTCATACAGTGTCGAAAATCACATAAGTCTTGCACATATCAATAACCACATAAGCGTCCCATTATTTGTCAGCTATGCTATCCTCGTAACCCCACTGCAAAACAAAAGGTGCAAACTTCAGACACACACGGTTGAACAGCAAAGGGTAAGAGGAAAACTGTGTAAATCAGATTTTTCACTGAAGCACTGCTTTAATCAAATCAAATATTATGTTCTTGCCTTTGTTTATTAAATGACCATAGTTCACTGTAAAAACATGATTTTTTCAAGATGTTTCTTTTAAAGATAAATGCATGGATATTTCTAATGTGTGTGTGTGTGTATGTGTGTGTGTCTTTAATAGGAAGAGCCCATCCTCAGGGACTCATAGCAGAGAACCCTCAAGCAAAATCCGCTCTCCTTCTCCAAGCTGTTTGCAGTCATTCAGAGGATTTACATTCATGTGCTAAGGCTCACCTTCAGCCATACAGACCACCACTACATATAAGAGGCTACCATATGGCTGCAGACGAAGCCAGATTGCCTATAAACTACAGCAGTGGAAGAAGCAGCCAATAAAGATACACAGTCGTATGCAAAAGTTAGGGTGCCCCTGGTCACCTGAGTTAAAACATCCTCTAAAGTGAACTGCATATGCAAAAAATATGAAATTCAGCAAATAAATAAAACTTGTGCACTAAATGTGTTCCCTCTTCCCTGTAGAGCATGTGCTCATTTGACCGGAGGTGTTCAGATGACTGTATACTGTCATCATTTGCTTTATGGTAAACTAATACCCAAACAACCCATCAAAAGCCAAAATCGGATATTTTAAATAAGTTATATTTGAAATTTTAAAGGAGGTCTGGTCTGAATGGACTGTTGCTATTAAAAGGCCTATGTTGCTTCTGCAGTTGCGCTGCAGTCTGCACTAATACTTGTAAACAGACCAAACAGCATGGGCCAAATGTATGTATTTTATTCAAAGGCAAAATTATGAAAATAGCATTTCTGTTCCCAACATGGTGTGTAGTTTTCCATTATGTAAAAACATTTATTCTTATTATACGTATTAACTAAACACCACATTGGGAAAATGACAGTGTACATATATATGGAGAGAGAGTGCTAATAATAGGATACAATAGGACATACACATTTATGATGAAAGTGCTCCATGCAGTGAGGTTGAAAGAAAAAATTATCAACAAACCTCCCTGTTACTCTGTTACTGTTTACTCAACAGAATGTCCACAACACTCTTCTTAGAACTAAAAAAACCTTTATAACGTGGACAAAAGAATAAAAGATAAAAAGACCCAAACATGTCTGCTCTTGAACTCTGATCTATATTTCCTGCCTTTTTCTGTCTATAATTTCAACCCTCTCGTTTTTACAAATGTCCATCACCCTCTTTCTCTCTCAGCCTCTTTCTGTCTCTTTCTCTCTCACACATGCACTCACGCTTTGCTGCTTCTGTGTGTGTGTGTGTGTGTGTTGCGGTGAGGGTTCCCCCAGTGAGATTGTGCTGAGAGTGTGAAAGCCAGGCCCTGGCGCTGTATGTCTAATTACAGAGAGCCATGAGCCGATCGATTTCTCCTACACAGTCAAATCTGTTTACTGCTGCCATCTAAAGCAACTGCACGCTCATCCATCATTTTCATATACCACCGCACATCACACATACATGCACACACGGTGACGCAAAGACATACGCACTCAGGCTTAAACTGTCTGCACAACACACACAGACACACTCACACACAGAGACATGCACAGTGCTGTCTAGGATATCATCTTTTGTAGCATTACATACATGGACAATTTGAATACAAACATCTCCACCTGCTTTGCTCTTTGTTCATACAATTATACAAATAAACACAATTACACAGCCTTTATATGTGTAACTGTGATATATAAAAAATAAATGAAAGTAATAAATGAACACACTGTAGTCTCCAAAACTGGACTTCAAAAAATTATTAAAAGTTATAGTTAATATGAGATTCCTAATAAGCATACACCTGGTAGACCACTAAAACTGTCTGCATCGGATAAACAGTACATTCGTCTTTGTGAGAGAGGAGAAAATCAAGCCCCACTCTTGCTTCAGATCTGAAAAAATCCACAGGTGTTTCTGTCCATCCTTCCACTGTTAGAAGACAACTCAGCACTATGGATCTGAAAGGATGTGTAGCTGTAAAGAAGCCCTTACTGAGAGAAAGATACAAAAGAAGAACAAAAGCTTCTGGTGCTCTCAGAACAATGGACCAGAGTCCAGACCTCAACATCACTGAATGTGTTTGGGATTATGTGGATTGCAAGAGACAGGAAATACAACCAATTTCTAAGACTGAACTTTGGAGGTGTGGAAAAATGTGCTTGCAGATTTCTTTGAAAAGTTGAAAAGAACGGAAGCTGTGATCAAGATAACGCATTTCCCTGCCAATGAAAAAAAAGCACTTAATCAAACCTAATGGCCTTTTTGACTGAAAAATAATTGAAAAATGGTTGTTGGTCTCAGATTTTTGCACAGTACTATACACTGTTAGAAATAAAGGTCTATTTTTCATTAATCAAGGTGCAAAAAATGTAGATATGAAGATATGAACCTGTCACTGGTATGTCACCAGTATGTATGTATGTATGTATGTATATGTGTGCGTGTGTGTGTGTGTGTGTGTGTGTGTGTGTGTGTGTGTGTGTATATACACACACACACACATTCATTTTACACATGCCCTACAGGGTGTAGTGCATATCAGGCAAGTCCACTCAGGGTATATAAACTAGCACTAGCATGCATATATAATTGCACGCTGCACACTCAATAGAAATGCATGGTGTTGTACAGAAAGATGGCCAGTAAAGCCGTTAGTTCCAGCTGCACAGTTTGACCACAAGCTCCCAAAACGCTGTGAATCGTATTGGGGGGAGACCGCGTTGCTGTAAAACGATAAAAAAGTGCACAAAAACAGCGCTGTAATTGTAGCCCATAATGAATCGCGGCTGTGTTCTGACCTATATTTAGAGCTCTTTTGTCCAGTTGCGTCTCGGTTTTTTGGTATCGAGCGCGAGACTGTAGCGCGTTTCGCTCATTCCCACATTCCGCCTCCTGATGTCCCCCCGTTCTGGCGCGGCTCTCGCGCCTCCCCGAGCGCCGCGCGCACTGGGCTCGAGGGATCAATATGGATCGATCGCGCGGGAAGGGGGCCCTGATTACTGGACCACGTGCGCAGGAGAAAACAGAGGAAAATCGATCATTGCAGCTTTTAGGGCAACAGCCGAGCGTAGACAGAAAGAAGAAAGACGCACATTCTGCCTCATGCATTAGAGGCCGAGCCTCGCTGGAGAAAATGCTATAAAAATCCATCTAAAATGTTCAAAACCTTTGGCACGTAGCGCCATAAATGACGGCTCAAGTCTGCATCCAAATCATATCGAGGCTTTCTGGTATATCCTAGTTTCTGTTGTTAGTTTTTTCACCCTTTTTGAGAAATTCAACTGTGGACGATGATATTTGAAATCATTATCGCTGACTGTGGACTAAAGCCCTACACACGTAAGATGGTTCTGTAAGGGTTCTTTAGGAAAGGTAATGGTCCTATTTAGAACCATGAGTTTTATAAAGAACCAATTTCCCTGCCTAAATGTCTCTTTGCATGGCGAAATGGTACTTCAGATTGTATATGGTTCTATATGCAACCATATTGTATACACTCTTTAAAAAGATGGTTCTTCAAAGGTTCTTTAGTAAAGGAACTGATTCTATAGAGAATCATGAACACTCAAAGAACCATATGCATGCTTAAATGGCTCTTTGCATGGTGAAATGGTTCTTCAGAGTGTATATGGTTCTATATACAACCATATTGTATACATCCTTTAAAAAATGTGGTTCTTCAGGGGTTCTTTAATATATAGAACCATGAACAATCAAGGAACCATTTGCATGCTTACATGATTCTTTGCATGGTGATTAATGGGGAATGTGTTGCATATGGTTCTATATGGAACCTTTT